TTATACATACATATATATATATTTTATATATATACATATATATATATATATTTATATGTATACATACATACACAAACACATACACACACACACACACACACACACACACACACATATATATATATATACACACACACGCACTTACAAATATATATATATAGATATATATAAACACACACACAAACACACACACACACACACACATATATATAATATATATATATAAATATAGATATATATTTATGTATATATATATATATAAATATATACACACACACATATATATATATATTACATATATATATATATATACATACATAATACATACATACATACATACGTATATATTTATAAATATATATACATATATATACATACATATATATACACACACACACACACACACATGTATATATATATACATATACCTATGTATATACATGCAGACACACAGCCACATACACACACGCAGATACAAACACAGACACAGACACAGACACAGACACACACATTTATATATATATATATATATATATATATATATATATATATATATATATATATACACACACACACACACACACACACATATATATATATAATATATATAGGGGGTATAAAATATAATATATACCGTCTCTATGCATGCTATAACGGAACGGAATACTACAAAAAAAACGAATATTTCCTTCATCTGTACATACTTCTACATCTTTGTTATTATACGCATATCTACATATCTAAAAACGAGTGTGCCGATATGCGTCGAGGCAGAATTGAAGTTTAAGTGCTAGAGACTGCATATCCCGTGGTCAAGCAATCAAATCATATAAATATATGTGAATAGAATTATAAATAGCTGAGACATAAGATCCGAATACAAGCTCGCCAAAACAGACAGTCGAGGTAGTATATGTGCAGATTGTCAGACTGCTTCGTCAACGACAGTGAACACTGCCACTTGAGTTTTCTCGACTCACGGTACGAACTAAATACATATATGAAGTTATTTACCACCTCCAAAAGTAGCCTATATTAGTGTGCAATTAGTGATTACAAAGAAACATCACATACACATTCCAAACTGATGCGCATATTCTGCACGAATAAAAAAATATCGAGATATAACCATAGCAACATACGTAGGAAACATTCAAAGTGGTGTGAATACATAATTTGTCGATATTAATATTCATACTTACAACATTGACATGGTGAATAGGTCGTTAAGCTTTCCTATTGCGTTTGTTTCTCAGACTAACGATGCAGTGACAAATCAGCGATGTATTAGGACCAGATTGCGCTCTCGATATCGAGTTTGTAGTACGTACATATAGTCAATAGGCTGCTCAGCTGGCTATTCTCTTCCTGCAATTTTGATGCGATGGTTATTTTTAGATTCGATCCTTATCTTTCAGTTTCGCGTTTCTCGATGTCGGCAAGAGTTTCAAGACTCAACTGATAAACAGATCAAGTGATGATGATTGATGAACCTGTTTAAGATTCCTTCACCCACCCTAGGGCCAGGGCCAGGGCCAGGGCCAGGGCCAGGGCCAGGGCCAAGGGACAGGGTCAAGGCCAGGGGCTCAGGGTCCAGGGCCCAGCCCCAGCAATAGATATAAATATAAAAGAAGATGACTCATCAAATTTTCACAATAATGTAAACAAAAACAAGAGGCGGATAGGTCGGCACTCGGCAAGCTGCTGTTTATTAGTATTTAGGTATAGGCTCTATCAATTCAAATACGAAAGAAAAATAGAAGCTTGGTCTGTGCCCGTTTTTTTCGTACATAAGTTATAGACGCATAGCCTACTAAAACGACATCTGTGTGTTTATATCTGTACTATTTCTTAGAAGGCTACGGATACGATCTGTGAACGTATATATATTGAAATTTGCTAGAGTGTCAAAATAGTTACAGTTCAACTGTAGTTTCCTTTTACTGATGTTACCAGCAGAAATCAAAATGATATAGGCACCAATATCATTTGATATGAAGGAATTGCATCTGACTGTTCGAGGTGCACGGTGGAGGATACATCACTTGTATAAATCGTCTGGAGACTAATCTTCGTATATATCTAATACAAGAAATGCTGACGAATTAGCTTTTTCGACCTGTTTGCTATTCTAAAAATTCCATGCAGTTCTCTCTTGTATATTCATTTGCAAAGATATTGAGAAAGGCATGTCTATGTTGTCCTACTCTTCTCGTGTTCCTAACATGGTCTTAAATCATCAAAATAAAAAAACATATACAGACCGTAACGACTGTGAGACCCTGATTCATATAAATAACAATTCTTTATTGGACTCGACCTTTCAGTAAATCGGAGGGGGGTTCGTACCCAAATTATCAGAGCTTCCAAAATTGCCTCACTAGCCGATAAAAAAGCCCTAGTGTTTCGAGCCTGCGATTCTCGCCGGCCCAGTCACGGCATGTGCTTCTTACAATTCTTAGAACTGAACCTCGTCGGCCCACTCCAAGCCCAGGATGTCTGAACCAGCAGTCTCCATCTCCTCAGGTGCACTGCAATCTTTCGAGCCGAAGCAGTAGCCACAGCCCCACTCAGCTGGCCGCAGCATGACAAGCAGCACTCCAGCCGCTATCTCGGGATGCTTCTTAGCCATTGCACACTGTAAGATGGAAGTTTAAATTAATAAATTAGTTAGACACCTCTTATCGTCTCATAGCCAACTGCCTCTCTTGACTAAAGCTCGCACAGAAATCAGACGCACATACGAAGAAATATACTTCACCCTATTGAAAGTGGGTACAGACACTTACATGACGCTTGGCGACAGAGCACTCAGTTTTCTCACAGAAACCCTTAATTTTCTTAGCAGCCGCCATGAAGAATTTGCACGAAGCTCCTTTGATACAAGTCTTACACTTGTCTTCATCCTCGAAAACAAACGGAACTGGAAGCTGCGGAGACAAGGTACAGAAGAGGAGACGTGAGCTAGAGAACAACCCTAATATTGTTATCTACCTCAACACTTGTCGGATCCAATCATACATACAATATCGCTAGAAAGCACATAAAGAAAAAAAGTCTAGTACATTGTTCGCTTCGGCCGAGATTGCAGCAGGTTTCTTGATCACTTTCTCTACGACAAGTCCGAACTCCTCGCTATTCATATTGATCGGTGAGGGATCAATCTCTTTCACATCGACACCGCACGGGGGATGTGGACGCGGGCAATCACCGCGTCCAAAGCAAAAGGCCCTGGCCTTCTCCATAGGTCGAACCATTGCTATTTCCGCCAGGAGAGATGAAGACAATATGTAAATATTAACAAGAACGTTATAAGCGAAACTAGCAAGAGGATGCACGTAAGTGATCAAAGACGAAGTATGAGATTATAAATTGTTGTCACAGAGGGCGAGAGAAAAATCACTGATAAAGCTCACCTAACAATACACCGAAGGCCACCTTCGGGTGCTCTTTGGCTTCCTCGCAGTGCTTTTTAAGTTTTTCGCACTTGGTCTCCTCACAGATATGCTTGACACGGTGAACCACTGACTTCATAATATGCTCGGTAACACCCATGTGGCACTTGCGGCACTTGCGACGCCCTTCCAACTCATTGGGTCGCCCCCAAACCCAGGCGTCAGACTTCAATTGAGAGCCCAAACGATGGAGAAGACCTTCACTTGCCTCATAAGTATCTTCCAACTCCGAGAATGCCTGGAAAGTGTGATATATATTTGATAAGCTATTCCTACCCAGCCGGAAGGCAGAGAAGCCGGTCGGCAACTCAAGCTACGGAAGGACAAACCTACCCACCAAACACAACTGAAATGCGTACATACAAAAAAGAATGCATGCACAGATCAAAACGCACAAGGCGACGCCCTTACATACCTTGTCGGCTGCCTCCTGGACCACGTGCGAGGGGAACGCCCATGCAACACTGAATAGCCCCAGAAGAACTACAGAAGTGAATTTCATCTTGTCTATATATCCTGTTTAAGAAAGGAGTAGTGTGAACCGATATAATTGAAGTTTAATACACCTGATATTCAAAACTTCAATGCTGAGCATAACTATATTTCGAGATGTGTACACCGAGGATGATCAATAGAATAGAACAGGTAAATGTGCACGTGGGGTCGACAGTTGAATACTTAGTACTTACCGATGTAGCGAATACGCGGTTATGAAGAGCTTCAGAGCTTTGCTTCATGTACGTGTAGTAGTCGTGTTCTCATTTTGTTTTTGTTTCCGAGTTTCTGTTCCGGCCAAACATGATAAAATAAAATAATGATTGGATAAAAATTGATGATGACGCAAAACAGCTTTTTCAAGCATCGAAATGATGACCATCCAGATTCCGGCAACTGACCATTTTGTTCTATTTTCAGAAGGCTAAAAAAAAATTACAAATAAAAATAACAGCCTTATGAAAATTGAATATAAATAACATGTTGTAAACATGACTCCGCAGGGGGTGAGCCGAGCTCGGTAGGCTTCGCCGGTTTAGGCCCGTTCTCCTCATGACATTCCATAGAAGGAATCATATACGACAGTCGGACAGTGGTACTAGTCCTAAATTAGTATTTAGTATAAGAATGCAGTACGAATTAACGACATCAGAATGATCTAGGTCGTATATCCTTCCCCTTTCAACAATTGACCAATGCATTTTAGGATTCTAAAGATTAATATTTTCATTGGTCCACTAGGATGGGGATGTCCGCTATTTGAAAGTCCCCAGTATATTCCAAAATTTCCAATTCATGTACAAAAAACGCATCACAGCGTTCAAGACCCTGCGGGTGATAAGCTACGTACAGCAATTAAAAATAAATACAGAAATAAAAAATGAAAACAACAAAAAAAAGCAAAATATGTATTTTGTCTTTTCTAGGAGGCTATCCATACAGTAAATACTAATAAATACATACTTATGTAATAATTACGGACATACATACATAGTATTTAAAAAATAAAATAAATAGGTTTGTTTATTATAATATATACATGATGAGCAGTAGCCACTTACCAGTGGGCGGCTGGCCCTGGCGCATTCGAATGAATTTATTTATGATCTTACCCTCAGTTATGTACAGATGGTGTTTGAGTCGCTCGACTGACGAATGGCAGCCTGCCGGGCCGCCCGGGCCTCCCCTGCAGACAGTGCAGACTGCAGAGTGAAGGCCTGCAGCGCCAGGCAGCAGGCAGGCTCTACAGCCCTATTTACACACACACACACTCTCTCTTTATATAAAAAAACTAAATTTTACAAATATGTATTTTTTTCAAATGTTAGAAATAGAGTCTACTCTCTACTTTCTACTAAATACATAGTGTCTACTCAACAGAGAGAGTCGAGCCTCTCTCTCTACTACTAGTATGTAGTAGAGAGAGAGTGTCCAGTTGTCCAGTTGTCCACTCTCTAGTAGTGGAGTCTCTCTCTACTCTCCCTCACACACACAAGAAGAGAGAGGAGAGAGAGAGAGAGAGGAGAGAGAGAGAGAGAGGAGAGAGAGAGAGAGAGAGAGAGAGAGAGAGAGAGAGAGAGAGAGAGACGACTACTAACTACT